AGCCCTCTGCTAACCCGCTACCTCTTCTGCCCTAGCCCTGGCTATATAACGCTGCCTATAGACTCTTATAAATAGGGGGGGGGGGGGTACTTATAACCTCCTTAGGGAGCCTAAAGAGGGGAAAAAGAAGAAGAAAAGAAAAAAAAGCCTGTAGCCGAAAAGATCCTCTATATAATAGTAAGGCCCCACTTATCGTGCCTGCTATTTTACTATTTATGTATAAAGGGGCAGGCACGCCTTTATTACCGGTAACGCACTTCCCTATTCACGGAATAAATAATATAAACGTGTTTAATAAACGGGGAGATATTAAGTGTTTAATAACACTGCTACTATCTAATAGTGGATAAATAGCTGCTTTAAACTTTTATTTTATACCTGTTATTATATAAGGATATATCCCTTACAGACTTATTCTTTATAATAAACCTCTATAAACCACCATCTAATTAACGGTTAGCTATCTATAGTAGTTCTTTCTATACCCTTATATATACCTAAAATAGCACACTTCGTAAGGAATTTTCTCTTTATTCTCTTCCCCTAAAAATATCCTCTAGTACCACTATTTAAGGTTAGGATATATTTTAAGTCTTTAGCTCCACCGTTACTTAACGGTGGATTATCTACGGCTTTATTTTCTTTAAGCTCCGACCTATATATCACCGATAGTACTATTAACCCACTCGCCTTACCCGATAATCACTACCCACCCTACGGATACTCCGTAACTAGCTATAGCCTAAGGATAGGCCTTATTCTGGGAAGGGACAGCCTATCAGGTATAGGATATAAGGAAGACTTAGGAGGTACTAGGATATAGCAGTGGACTACATAGTGGACTACCGGCTAACTAATAAGTGGATATTTATTATATAAGACGGGGAGCTAGACTATTCTAGAAGGAAGGGGTTAGTGATTATCTCTCCTCTACACTACCACCTACCTTTAAGATACTCTTCCTATTAACCACCAGTTAATCTATAGTTGGCCTCCCCTTATATAAGACTACGATTCTTATCTGTTACTCCCTATTACCCTTTAGTCCTTATCCCTTCGGGCTAGACCCATATCTCCTTCTTGACACGTATGGCGCTAATTATATAAAGGCCCCGGTAGCCTGAACTCCGTAATTATCCTACTTACCTTAAGGAGCCGCGAGTATATAAGATAAAGACTATAATCGATATACGGGCGTTATAAATCGGCAGGATATCAGAAGTATTAGCGCTATAATATATAAGGCAGGTTATCGTATATAGACTCTGTAAACCTCTCCTAGATTAATAATAGACCGGAAATATCTCCGTGGATTAAAGCGACGATAAATAGCTCCCGTAACGCACGCCCGGTCTTCTAAATAACGGCCTCCTTAAAATAGGTAACCTAGTAACGGTTATCGTGTAGAAGCCCGGCCGTAACGTAGACCTCGCGGTAGGTATCGTAGATAGTCCCCTCCACGGTACGAAGATCCGTAAAGGAAGTCGGCCCTCGAATAAAGACTAAGAGTAACCGTAAATAGTACGCCTCTTTAGCCGTTAGGGGTATATACCGTAGACGGCCGATCTGAAATCTACGCTGCCTCGGCTGCTAAGTAGACTACTACGGTTTCTATGTATAATGGCTAGGAAACTAGTAATAGAATAACTCGTGGCTATCAACGTTATCACGATTATAGTCGAAAAAGCCTATTAGCTAAGTCTTCCGGTCCCGTAATATCCGCTTAATCTGGCTTATAGTCGCGTTATCGCCGAAGTATATAGGCTGCTATCCCTTAAGGTGAACCGGAAGACGTATAATAGGTGGGAACTCGCGATATACCGGGAACTCGAATAACTAAATAATAGCCTCTGTAGAACCGATATAACGGCTCTAGAGATAGATATTTACCTCGTCCTCGCCCTCTTTGCCTGATATTAGCGTAGTTATACGGTCGCTACCCTTATAAACGTACTTATACACGTACTTAATCGCCTAAATAGAGCCGTATATATTAAAGTATAAGATACTAGATATAATTAATAACTTACCTTAATAGATCCGTAAATCTTAACGTTAATATAGGCACCGTAACAGAGGCAGAGATACAGACTATAAGGAATAATAAAACGGTTATTAAGGGGGACCTCTCCTATACGGCCCCTCTTTATAATATATAGGCTAGAGTTACGGCGCCTATACTTAGGATAACTATCCTCGCGTATAGCCGTTTCCGGGCAGTACGGCTTAAGGAACCGCTTAAAGCATTTTATACGGTTCCCGTTATTAGGCTATAGCTATATACACGGCGTAAAGGGCTTATTATCACCGTAAGAACTATATATTATATTCTTACTAATAATATTAAAAAGACGGCTAGTAGGATCCGACTCGTAGTCCGGTAGCTCTGCAGATATAACCTTATCGATAGTTACGGCGTCCTTATATATCTCGGCCGCCCGCCACATAAGAAAAAGAAGGATATAACGATATAGAAGACCGCGCTTCTAGTATTCCACGGTCTATATAATACCCGTAAACTCACTAAATAGACTATCACGTAGCTATTATTCCAGGTCGCGGGACTTTAATTCGAATACACGGCCGACTAAATCGGGCCGGTTACTAGTAGTCTAATCTAGCTAAAGCTCCCGTATAATCTCTGGCTAAGTAGAATTAGCCGTAAAGATAATAAAAAAGGTCGGAGCGCCGAGAGCCTATATAATTACTATAGAATTCTAATAGTATTACGAGATAAACCGCTAGCTGCTAATGTAATTTAAGGGTAAGACGATCCGTCGGCTAATATTACGGGTATTACTGTTAGCCTTATACGCTTAATCCCGTATCCCGTTATATATGTTAGCCTGTATCTCGTTCTAATAGCGCTAGATCTAATTAAGCTTCTTCTAATCGCAGGATACCTATAAGTCCACTAAAAACTACTTAAAAAGACGGCTGTATATAAAGGATGTAAACCTCTACTAGTGTCGCGGGTATAGTATATAACGGTAGAACTAACGGAACTTTACCTCGGTGTTCTGCCACTAACGGTTATAAATATCCTGTAGCTATAACTACTAGTAATATCCGGAACCGCCACGCGGATATATAAGCGGGTAAGATAGTGGTAGGTAGGTAGAATACTCGTGGTCGATCCGCGTAAGGCCGCCTACGCTACCGTTAGACTGTCTCTCTACGAGGATAATATCACGGTAGTAGACTTTACCCCACTTATCCGGTATAATAGCCGTAACTTTATTCGTAACGGGTAGATTCTTACACCGTATATTAGCACCCTGCTTAATAACTAATTCTATCCTAGGGTTAAGTATAATATGGTATTATTCACAGAGGGAGTTAAAGCGTTTACGGGCCGTTTTATATATTTGTATAAAGGGGTTATACTTATACAGGAAGTCCGAAATCTCCTTAAGGATATAACGGTTAAGCGTAGAGTTAAGGCTTTAGGTATTCGTAAGGCGCTAATTGGTAATAGCCTACGGGTCGTAAAAGTATAGCTAGGTAAAGGCGGGAAGTCGACCTATAGCACTTAATAGCTTAGTATAGTAGTAGAGGGTACCGTGGATCTAGAAGGCTATCGCGCCGCCGGCCGTAGCACCTTAACGGGTCTGAGTATATTATATAGACGTAAACGAAAAGGTATTATGATTTTAACGGATTCTCTTACGATAATCTACAGCTTAAGCGGTATCCGTGTATAATAGGCGTTAGAAAAAGTCGGGTAACGGGGAGATAACGGGAACGTCGATATCGTCCTGGTTATAATAGATACCGAATTTCGGGCTTATAGATGACGATTCCTATAAAAGAAGATAATAGCGGTTAGCTAACGGTTAATAACGCGGGATAGAAAACTAACCTATAACTTCTCCCTAATCTAATAAAGCGTAGCGTAATGTTTATACTTTACCCGTATTAATCTAAGGTCGTAGTAATTAACCGTAATACCTGGCTAATACTACTCTAGCGGCCTAGTATATTCTTCGCGGCGTTCGCGACGGTCGGTATTCGTAATACGCTGGCTAGTATTAATAACTATCCTCCCACGGCGGGCGGTAACACGGTAGGTATTATAGGTATTATACGCGGTATTATTACGCCGTATAGTAAAATTAGCTCTTAGAAGGTAATGCCTATAATACGTGTAGTAACTCCCCGGGGTAGACTACGGGCCTTTTCTCTGCTAACGGGCGCGACGGCGATATATAGGAACCGGGGGAGGATCTATTAAAGGGTGGCCTATTAGAACGGGTGGAGGAGGAGCCGGGGGAGGATTTATTAGAGGGTGGCCTATTAGAACGGGTAGTGGAGGAACCGTAGAACCTATAGGAGGTGCAGGACGGGCTTAACGGGCGGTTCGACGGTTAGCTTAATTAGCTCTGCAGGTAATATAGGTAGCGTAAATCCTTTAACGCGACCGTGGATAGAAGCCGAACTCGGAACATGGCCTTATGATATTATAACTATAATAGCGCTTAGGCTCGCGCTCGGTTTAACTAACTATTCTAACGGCGTTATAGCGTTAGGAGCTAAAAACGAACGGCGTAATAAAAAGTGTTACGAGCAGAGCGAAGCATATATATAAAACAGTATAGTCTAAAAGTCAAAATAATAGGCGACTTACACCGTTTTTATCACTAAAGATACGAAAAAAGGGCTAAAAATATATATATTATAAAAGTAGACAGATTTACGAGTTATATAGGTATATACTATAGAATTAAGTCTCCCGGAAAACACTATAAAATAACGAAAAACGGGACCGGATGGTAGTACTGCTACGAACGTAAGGCTGGCTATTAACTTACGCAAATTAAAGCGGGCCAGCGTTAGTGTATTCTTAGAAGGGGGTTAGTTAAAGAGGTGAATACGAAGGCATATTATCTTTAATTTTCATTTTTTTAATTCCCATTTTTATCTTTTTCACAAAAGAAATTGGCTTCTACACTACTTGGTACTAACACAACCCCTGTAAAGCTTGTACCTCGGTACCTTAGTCACAGTTGAAACTTCACAGCGCATCTGCAGGATGGACCGAGCAAAGAGAGGAGGACCATCATGCTGTTCATGATGCATATGGAACGTTAGCTACCCAAGACTTCACCCAATACCGTAGCTACGCTTTGCAAATCACCTCCCGTCATCCTCCACACCGTGTGGTTCTGGGCACCGTCACAACGCCGCTCTGGTATTCGAAGTAGGTACGTCACAGTCCAGTACACACACCGTCGGTCAACTGATCGTCAACTAGCTGTACTCCGTACAAACAAACGAACTGATGATCGCGCTATGATTGTATGCTGTCATATCAGCCATGTCTTGCAAAACCTAGTGTACATGTACAGGAATCGCCCAACATGCTGTCACGGTGAGGCGGTCTGGTGACTATCTACGAAGTAATTCTAGATGCTGCATCACAATAAAAGTCGCATGCTGTAATTACGCTACAGACATCTCCCCTCACAGGGCTGCAGGGTCGAAATACCTACAGACAGCAAGTAAGGGGTCATCCAAGCCGTTGGGGACGACAGGACGACGCTACCTTATTGTTGGGTCTGTTGGGTCCCAATACAAGGTCGCACGGATAGCACCAATACACCCCCTGTACTGTCTGTACCCTTTGAAAGTGGCATGGTACTTGCAGATATGCACAGAGATGGTCAAGAAGTTTGTACCAATACATTGTTCCGCTTGTTCCGTTGTTCCTGCCACGAGGTCCGTCCTGACTGGGATATGAGAAACTGGGGAAGGAAATGATTTGAGATCTTAACCGTCGGCTTCCCCTCGGGGCAAAGGAAAAGGACCCCGATGATTGCTTCCCCGGTCTAACGGTACGAATCAACCCTTTACCTGGGACACAACAAGTACGAAGTACTTCGTACCTTATCACATACCTCGCACTCAGGACAACCCTCACCACACCTCAACGTTAACGTTCGGTCCCCAACAAGCACAGTAGCAACCAACTCTTTTAGGCAAGCTCAACTGCGAAGTGGGAACTACTCGCTCAGGTCCTGGATCCGCGCACCCAACGGCGCACCCAACGGCGCAGCCATCGCAACGTGCCTACCTATGCATAATTAACGCTCATCCCGCGTCCGTTACCGGCACATCCCAGACAACTCTCCCTCTCTCTCCTTAAAACCGGTGCTGGAGGGCTACCTAAGGTACTAATTAAATGCGCTTGCCACCCACCTCATAAAATAAGACTCTCCTCCCCACCATCGCGTCCCTTCATCCTCGCGAAAGTAGGTGTTCTTTGTCTCTTGTTCCTCTACCACTACCTTATACAACGATTCGCCGATACCTAGCCTACAACCGTCTCATCGCAGAGCCCTCGTCTGATTACTCGCGCACCAGGGACCATCATCACCTCGACCATAGCGAACTCCTGATTTCGATACGACTTTCGATACGACGAACCCCTCTGCGACTTGAGAGCCGCCATCTCACTCGCCCTCCATCCAGCATTCCATTCCGTCCGCGGTCGAGTCTTACAAGTCCTTGCTCCCGAGGGCTGGCATATTCTCGTCTTCCGTATCCTCCGAGCGGTTTTCGTTTTTTTTTCTCTTCCGAACCTCTATTTCGCACACTCCCCCACCGGAATGTCTCAAGTACATTCTCGCACAGCTCCCGCGGTAGGAGCTCCTCAGGCTGCAGCGAAGGACGCACCTGTGGTACCTGATATTCCTGCTGCTGCCGTCGCCGCCGCTGCTGCGCCCGCGCCCGCTGCCGCGACTGACCCCGTCGTCCCGGAGGCTCATGAAGTTGATACCTACCGTAAGCTTCAGAAGAAACCCCGCCCTCAATTCCATTATTCTACCCCTCTCTCACTGGAGGGGCTTCCCCCCCTTATTTTACTCTTGTCCACGTGGAAAATATCGGCGCAGGCTTCAGCGCTGAAGCAGTAGAGCGAATGATGATTGAAAATGAAGATGGCTGACTCGGCGTGTTCTCATGTTTAGATCCCCCGCAAAAGATGTTTGAGAGTACGTCCTGACTAGCTGAGGAACATCCCCTCCATCATTGCGCCTCCCCCCTTCCAATTCCTGTCAGGCTCGTTGAGACAGTATTTTCCCCGCCCCATGAATCTGATCCCGCCATCCCTGAGTACCTGAGCTGGCCCCTTTTCCATCGACTTCCTCTAGCTCCTGTAGCTTGACGCTGCCTAGAAGATTTGGGTCCAAGTCCGCCTCTGGAGCTCCACACTTTTTCTTGGCAACGTGAATCGCGAGGGAGTGAAAACAGAAAAAGGAAAGGAAAAAAAATCGGGCGGGGCGAGGGGAATGGACTTCAGAATTCAATTTCCCCCAGGCGTTTGTTTCCCTTCGCCGTGTTGGGACGGGGAGAGCGAGTCGCCTTGAAAGAGGAATGGAGGGGAGAATACTCTCGAAGGATGGGATTAACCAATACTCGCTGCCATGGTTTCAGTCGTCGCTAACTTTTCTTTTTGACTTTCTGCAGAGCATCCCAGCAAACCCCACCTCAACGGTGAGTTTAGCACGACCCCTGTCCCACCCCAGAATTTGACACCCTTTGCACCCCTCCTTTTCCCGACCCCCTTTTTCTGAACCCCTCCCGATTTCGGCATTTTGTATGGAGGGGCACAACCGACAATGTACGTCACAAGAAGAAGCTGACATTGAATTCCCCAACCTAGGCCTGGAGGAGTACCAGACTTTATACAAGGAATCAATCACCGACCCTAAGAAGTTCTGGGGAACCAAGGCACGCGAGCTCATCTCTTGGTATACCGATTTTCAAACCGTGCATTCTGGCAGTCTTGCAGGTGGTGACAACGCGTGGTTCCTCGAGGGTACCCTGAACGCATGCTACAACCTCGTTGACCGACACGCCTTTAAAGACCCCAACAAGGTCGCCATTATCTACGAGGCCGACGAACCCACCGACGCCCGCAATGTCACCTATGGCGAGCTTCTGCGGAACGTCTCACAGGTCGCCTGGACTCTCAAACAAATGGGCGTCCGCAAGGGAGATACTGTCGCCATCTATATGCCCATGATCCCCGAGGCCCTGGTCGCTATGCTGGCTTGTGTTCGTTTGGGTGCCATCCATTCCGTCGTCTTTGCCGGCTTCTCGGCCGACTCCCTCCGCGACCGTGTTCTCGACGCCAGGTCCACGGTCGTCATCACCACGGACGAGGGAAAGCGTGGTGGCAAGCTGATCGGCACCAAGAAGATTGTCGACGATGCCTTGAAGCAGTGCCCTGGCGTGTCGCATGTCCTGGTGTACAAGCGCACTGGTGCCGAGATCCCCTTCACGGAAGGCCGGGACCTCTGGTGGCACGAGGAGGTGGAGAAATGGCCCGCCTACTTCCCCCCGGTTCCCGTCAACTCCGAAGACCCTCTTTTCCTCCTCTACACCTCCGGCTCGACCGGGAAGCCCAAGGGCATCATGCACACCACGGGAGGCTACCTTGTAGGTGCTGCGGCCACCGGAAAATACGTCTTCGATATCCACGACGGTGATCGCTACTTCTGCGGCGGCGATGTCGGCTGGATCACCGGCCACACCTACGTTGTCTACGCCCCTCTTCTCCTGGGCGTCACCACCGTCGTCTTTGAGGGCACCCCTGCGTACCCCACCTTCTCCAGATACTGGGACATCATCGAGAAGCACAAGATTACCCATTTCTACGTGGCCCCCACCGCTCTCCGTCTATTGAAGCGTGCTGGCGACGAGCATGTCAGGGCCAAGATGCAGCACCTCCGTGTTCTTGGCAGCGTCGGCGAGCCCATCGCAGCAGAAATCTGGAAGTGGTACTTTGATGTCGTCGGCAAGGAGGAGTCCCAGATCATCGATGTAAGTAACTTACTCGCCGTTCGGTTCCAAGTGCGGACATATGGCACTCGGATGGCTCACGCGCTTATACAATGTCGCAGACCTACTGGCAAACAGAAACGGGCTCCAACGTCATCACTCCTCTGGCTGGCGTTACTCCCACCAAGCCCGGCAGTGCGTCGCTCCCCTTCTTCGGCGTCGAGCCGGCCATTATCGATCCCGTATCAGGTCAAGAGATTCACGGCAACGACGTCGAGGGCGTCCTGGCATTCAAGCAGCCTTGGCCAAGCATGGCCCGGACCGTCTATGGCGCTCACAAGAAGTACATGGATACCTATTTGAACGTTTATAAGGGATATTATGTATGTTTTTCTGTTTTCCCCGTTTCACTTTTCACTTTTCATGTTTTATTTGTTTTCGTTTTCGGGGGTGTCCTTTGGTGGCCCATCGTACTAACCCACCGTGTTTTCTAGTTCACTGGCGACGGCGCTGCCCGAGACCACGAAGGGTTCTACTGGATTCGTGGCCGTGTGGACGACGTGGTCAACGTCTCGGGCCACCGGCTGTCGACGGCCGAGATTGAGGCTGCGCTCCTTGAGCACCACGGTGTCGCCGAGGCCGCCGTCGTAGGCGTCGCGGACGAGCTGACGGGCCAGGCGGTGAACGCCTTTGTCAGCCTCAAGCAGCCCAACGATGCCAGCGACGCGCTGCGCAAGGAGTTCATCATGCAGGTGCGGAGGAGCATCGGCCCCTTTGCGGCGCCCAAGGCGGTCTATATCGTGCCCGACCTGCCTAAGACCCGGTCTGGCAAGATCATGCGCCGCGTCCTGCGGAAGATCCTGGCGGGTGAGGAGGATCAACTAGGCGACATCAGCTCGGTATGTGCTTCTGCTTCCCTCCCACATCATCTTCTTTCACTCTTGGAGTACGTATTCAGGCTAACCAGATGCTGCTTCTTTTAGCTATCCGATCCGTCGATTGTCGAAAAGATCCTCACCTCCGTACACGAAAGCAGGTCCAAGAAATAGAAATAAAACCTACACAAGAGAAATGAAGAGAGAGGGGAGCGGAGGGGGACGACTAGACGTGCCCCTGATATGCTTGATATCAACCACGATGAAAGATATGCCTCCGGTTGGATTGATCTTAAAACGATAGCACGTTTTGTAATGTATATATATGTCAGGGTGCGATTACTTTTCCCCTTGTTCCGTTGTTGGACATTCCATCGGCGTCGTGGATGATTCTGGGCTGCTTGGATTCCCCTTAGACTGGACGGCACCGAACATGGTTGATAATATATACGAAGTAGAGGTCATGCCTTCAGTGTGCCAGTTCCTCCGCCATCAGGCGGCCTGCACGATTTAGAGCAAGAAAATCTTCAAGACTTCGAAATCTGGGTTTGACTCGCAACGGGATCTCCTACCACTACTTTCATACCAACTAACCATCGGTGATTCGAAAGCCCTTACTGCGCCAAATGGTCTCCATGTCGGTGAACCTGATGCTTGGGCATGATTTTGGATTGCAGTACTGGATGATCTGACCGACATCCGGAACAATGAATCTACGCAGTTATTCTCGGCCGACGACCTACGGGCTTTGATTCGGCATACATCATAAGTCAACTTCATCCCGATGCCGAGGCCAACGTTGATACAGCCCCATCTATCCAGCGTCTACGGGTGGAAAGGTTCTCAATGCTAGACTTGTCATCTGCCCAGAAACGGTCGTGGCGAGGTCGTCTTTTGCGCAGGACAGATATAGCACCCCTGGAGTTGCACAGACAGGCAGTCGATCTTTGCGATACGCACGATCGTCGTACTCTTGCCCTTTCGCAGTCCTTCCCAACAGGAGAAGTGGCGACAAGGAAAAATGATACTTGATCTCGCGTTATATGACACGGATGATGACTAGCGATAACGATGAAGTCGCGACATGGGCGTTCGTTGCCTTCGACATTTTTACGATCGATCCATGTACGTTGTACACGTAATCGGCGACCTTTAACTCTGCATGGGGCCCAAATTTAGATCAGACGGATGCAGGCTCATTAGGTACCTTAGGTTTGTCCCTCGATTAGAATCAAGATAACCTCTGGTGTTGTGTCGATCACTGCCACTGAGCAAGGTCAGACAAGACCAAGCTCATTCAACACAAATCGTCGTTGTATGCCGGACAGCGAGTGCGAGAGATACATAGCTTCTTCGACAGCCCTTTTTATGACTGTATGTATTCGTACTCGGATGGTCCGGGGGGTAGTAAGCGGGAGATCATTCCCGCAGATGGTTGGTTCAGAGGGCTGGCCAAAGGCCCAGCCGCCCCTAGACCGGTAACACGACAGGAGAACGAACACCCAATAGAAACGATTGCAAGGTACCTTTTAATCTGATGAGACGATTCGTAAGCGCGGATGTCTTTCACTGCCCGCATGTGCAGCAAGCAGGAGGGACGAAAGTAATATGCCGAGAAACCTCTAATTATCCCATGGTGGAGGAAGTGAGAGTTACCCCTCTCGTTTTCTTTAGACTATTGGGTAGTGTTTATATACGTTTGCCCGCGAAGACTTGTTTGCATCCCACTTTCTTTGTCTGCGGGACTCGAGTGATAATCTTGCATATCCGTGTTGTACGTTGTATCTACCTAAGTGAGGTACCTAAGGTAGGTGATTAGGTAAGGTATCTACCTTATGTAGAGAGTTCCTTCAGGGCGGGGACGCAAGGTCCCGTTAGTAATTGCTTACAGTTTGATGCTCAGAGGGCGCTAAGCAAACGGGGGGAAGAAACGAAGAGAGAAACGGCCACAGGATGCCATCACGCGAGGACAGTGTTCACCAAAGACGAACGAGAGAGTCTGGCTGGTTGATGGTGCTTTGCTTTCTTTTTTTCTACAGAGTAATGACTTCGTGGTGGACGTGTAATGATGTGTTCGCCAATGGGAAAAGGGCAACGGAAGGACTGCACTGCCTCCCCGTGGCAAAAGAAGAAGGCGCTTCAGAACGTCCAAAGTTTTCGGTTGTTCCACCATATCTGTCGGCGTCATCTCGTGAACGTGTCGTGCGGCGTGCCACTGCCTGCCCCTAATTTCACTTGTCCCGATTTCTTCGTTCGTTTCCCGGACCATCTCGGGCCAAGCTTAGGTACTCATATGAATCTGGGCAGGTGTGTGGACCCAGCCCCTTGCCGCAGCACGGTTTGGTTTGGGGATGAGCGTGCGTTGGCGGTAGGAGAATATGAGCGCTTTTATTACGGAGTCGAGTCCTCTAGGTATAAGATGTCCCTTTGAGAACCTTTAGAAGTAGAATATGGGCTGAAGAGAGCTTCTTTTCTTCTATTATTTTTTATACGTATAAAATAATAGGTTTACGTGCAATTAAGAATAATTAGAGAACTTTCCCTTGCTGGGAGAGGATGACGACGCTGCGTTGTTCGTGGGTGCTGTCGTCATCCACTCAAAAGACGCGGCATCCTGGCGCTCGCTTTTGTCCGCACCAGGGCAGTGGAATACACGTGTAGATACATCGAGACTTGCGTTTTGTGGAGTATTTATAATCCGTATATCAATTTCTCCCTTTTGTGAGGCTAATAGGTACCTGAATGTGGCTTTCGGCATACGTACGGTACACGCGTCGTCTAGCAAAATACCGAGATACGTACCTAAGTAGTACTAGCTCCCGATTCCGACTCGGCTAAGCCCCGGTTTCAATTAGCCCCGATCCGCCAAGACAATCCGCCCCTGCTTCCACTTCCACTACAACACGTACATACACTACCTAACTCCCGTCCTGCCCTTTCCCCCCCCAGGTCGTCGTCAGCACCTACCCTGCGCCAAGTTGAGCCTCCCACCGTGGCGTGGCGTTCCTGCTGCTGTTGGTTCCAGGTTCCAAGGTTCTTTTTGACTTTGACTTTTTACGCTACTTTGGACTTTTAACGCTTCGCTTCCTCTTCTCTTCCATGCCCCTGCCCCGTCAAACCGTTGCCACTAATCTCCCCTCTCCCGCCACCTTTCGACTTACCGAACCTCTCAACCAAACGTCTTGACTTCCTCGATCCGGACTCTTGACGATCTTCGCCATCCATCTACCATACTTGTTCATACCAGGCCGTCTGCTGCGTATCCTCACCGGAAAACACACCAACACACGGCTGCTCTCTACCGTACTGGGAGGAAGGTCTTGACCTACACTTTCACGAGAATTTTCGGACTTTTCAACCTCGATTTATCACCGACCTCTTTCTTACAGCTACCCTTCAGCAGCCATCGACTGATGCAATAGTCGTCGTCGAGCCCCGTCCCGTAGTCGGGACATTACTATCACCTCAAACGACGGGGATCGTAATATCACTTGATAATCATGGTTTCCCTACGTTCATTATTCACATTTATTGGTGTATCTGCCATTGTTCAAGATGTCGTCGGTAAGTTTTGGAATTTGGAATTCACTGCCTCCACCCCCCTGCCCAGTCCAGAATTGCACCGAAGACACCAATCCAAACGACAACCACAACCACAACCACAACTAACAATCTTGGCTCCTATAGCAAATAATTCACATAGGAACCCTTTGAAATACATCTCCATACTGGAAGAACCGACCTTCAACACCCCTTCGAAACGCGTTCATTCCCATTCCTCCTTTGATCTCACCTTTTCCCTCCATGACGGCCAGCAAGACGTCCGTCTGGCCCTCGAACCCAACCACGACATCCTCCAAGACAACTTGCAAGTCAACTACCTCGCGCCTGACGGGACTTTGAGGCAAGTCGAACACGTACAACGACACGAACACAAGGTCTTCCGCGGCAAGGCCTTTGTCCGACGCGAGGACCGCTCCGAGTGGACCCACGTTGGATGGGCGAGGATAACGGTCCATCGCGATGGTAAGCACCCCGTCTTGGAAGGGGCTTTCCGTGTCGATGGAGACCACCACCACATTCATACCGCCTCCAACTATCGGCGCCTGAGACACCCGCAAGACCCCGACGTCGAGAATGGCCTGGATCCGGACGAGTACATGGTCGTCTGGAGAGATTCGGACATCATGGATGACTACTACTACTACGACGACTCCCGAGACCTAAAGCGAGACGTGCGCGGTTCCAGGCACTGCGACTCCGAGCAGCTCTCGTTCAACACAAAGTACGACCCCTGGGCACACGGAGACGAAGAGGACCCGTTGCGAGCCGCGTCCACGAGGTCCTTGTTCGGCAGGCAGATGGACACCGGGCCGACTGGCGACGACGGTGCCGCCGTCGGTCTGGCTTCGACCATTGGGAGCACCCTGGGCTGCCCCAACACCCGCAGGGTTGCCCTGGTCGGCATCGCCACCGATTGCACCTACACGGCTGCCTTCAATTCGAGCCAGTCCGTCCGCTCCAACATGATCAACCTCGTGAACGCCGCCTCCGAGGTGTACGAGAACAGCTTCAACATCTCCCTGGGCATCCAGAACCTGACCATCAGCGACGCCGCCTGCCCCGCGTCTGCCAGCAATCTCGCTCCGTGGAACATCGGCTGCGACCCGAATACGAGAATCGGCGACCGCCTGGTTCTCTTCTCCAGGTGGCGCGGCGCCATCGACGACAACAACGCCTTTTGGACCTTGTTCAGCACCTGTGACACGGGCAGCGCCGTAGGCCTGGCCTGGTTGGGCCAGGTCTGTGTCCAGGGCTCTCAGGACACGGAGGGCAACGACGGTGGCGTCGAGACGGTCTCGTCGGCCAACGTCGTCCTCCGCACGCCGCAGAGTGAATGGCAGGTCTTTGCACACGAGGCTGGGCATACGTTCGGCGCCGTGCACGACTGCGACGAGGGCGAGTGCGCGGCCGTGGGCTCCGACGGCATGCGGCGATGCTGCCCTCTCAGTGCCGACGAATGCGACGCCCGCGCGCAGTTCCTCATGAACCCTTCTACCGGATCCCACCTTCGGCAGTTCTCTCCGTGTACCATCGGCAACGTCTGCTCGGCGCTTTACCGAAATGCGATCCGATCGGACTGCTTGATGGACAACCGCAACGTCGAGACGATCACGGGAAGTCAGTGCGGCAATGGCATTGTCGAGGCCGGCGAGGACTGCGATTGCGGTGGCGCCGAGGAGTGCGGGGACGACCCGTGCTGCAACCCCGAGACGTGCCGGTTCACGGAGAATTCGGTCTGCGACCCTGCCAACGAGGCATGCTGCACCGGTCAGTGCCGGTTCGCCGCGTCGGGCGCCGTGTGTCGCGAGAGCACGGGGCTGTGCGACCCGCAAGAGGTATGCCCCGGCGATTCGGGCATGTGCCCCAGCGACCGCCACCTGGACGACGGCGAGTCGTGCGGCGACGACGGCGACAACCTGCGCTGCGCGTCGGGCCAGTGCACCTCCCGGGACCAGCAGTGCCAGGTGGCGGTCGGCTCCCGGGATACGAACAACGAGACCACCGCTTGCGGCTCCCAATGCCAGCTCCTCTGCCGGTCGCCCACGGTCTTTGGGACGGACATGTGCCGGCAACCCGCCAGCCAGTTCTTCATAGACGGGACGCCTTGCTCCAACGGCGGGAGATGCAGAAACGGCGTCTGCCGTGGGGAGTCTGTCGCCGGCAGCGTGGAGAACTTCTTCCAAGAATATCGTCATATTATTATTCCCGTGGCCGCGTCTGTCGGAGGTCTTATCGCACTGGCCATCCTTTGGTGCTGCGTCTCGTCGTGCTGCAAGAGGCGTCGGCGCAACAAGGCGGCGAAACAGCCCCCTAGCCCCCCACCGGCGGCGGCGGCAGCAGCAGCAGCCAACAACGACGGGCACGGCTATGGTGGTGCATGGAACGCCTCGGTTCCCCCGCCCGCTCCTCCTTCTGTTCCTCCTGTTCCGCCACCGCAGCCACAGATGTCGTCGCAATACGGTTCCTACGGTAACGACCCGCAACGGGATTACCCGTCGAATTACTCGCAGGGCTCGGGGCCATCCTACCCAGGGCAGTGGATGCCGCAGAGGGGCCAGGGGTCCATGAATACGCGGTATGCCTAGGATTTGGCTGGCCCTCTTTTTCTTTTTCTTTTCCTTTTCCTTTTTATTTTATTTTCTCACGCAACGCCCTATTCTCGTGGTCTTCGTCGTCGGTCACATCCTCGTCGTCGTGGCGGGATGACTGGGCTATGCGACCAGGCAGCCCCCACCCCACAGGGCTCGCGAAGAACGACTTTTTGGATACTCCTTGCATAGAATTGGCGTTGGCGTTATCCGGTATCCCGGCCCTTTTATTGGCATTATTTTCCGCGGCCTTTTCATTCCCCGTCTCTCTCTCTCTCTCTCTCTCTCTCTCTCTCTCTCTCTCTCTCTCTCACTTGCACATTATCGTCTAGGCCTTGGAAGGAAAATAGCCTGTCATAAGAGCTACGGCCGTCTGGGATGAGCACCAACATTTTGTTCATCGATAGCATAGGACGGAGGGGCCTGTTCTAAGGGGCTGGACACATATATATATACACTGGGGACTATCCACACCATCCTGAGATTTAAAACAAACGACGGCATATATGCATGGCATAGGCGGTTCGGCGGGATTCACGGCGCAATAGGGTGGAAACACATATACGGATATTGGACTTGGCATCTCGCTCCTTGTCGAGTGACCGAGGTCGTCATAAAGAGGCTGACGCCTTGGCTTGGATATAACTGGCTGCTCTGGTTCGGAGCTAGCCTATAAGCAATAAAAAGTCAATAACACAGCGGCTTCTGATGTTTACGGGGTACGACGTGGGTCATGAACCGTGATGGTCGTCGTTTTTCTCGAGTGTTTTCATTGTATCCCAGACAAGTGAATAACGAATGCCTGCTACCTTTCTTTTCCACGTTTCCACGTTCCCCCATGTCGGTAAGGGGGTTATAGAAATCACGACGCAAACAGCGACAGCATTCGGTGACACGGCAAGAGGAGGGAGGGGGCGGACACCTCTTCCCGCGCTGCCGCTGCCACGGGGGGGAAAATAAAGACCAGAGAAAAGACAGGAAGAAAGAAAGAAAAGGAAGGCGGGAAAACCAAAAGAGGTGGGGAGGAGCGTGCTTCGGTTCAACGCCGCCTGTGGGCACTGGGCCTTCCAGAGCCGGAGGAGTTCTTGCGCGGGGTGGTCGGGGGGTCGTGGTGATGCTGGGTGGCGGAATGGTCGTCTTCGTAGCCGCACAGGAGGCGGGTGAAGTAGAGACGGGTGCCTGGGATGCTCTAAGCGCGGAAAGCGTCAGTCTCGTTGTAGATGCGATGGACTTTGATTTGGAAGAAAAGGTTGGTTGGGGGAAGAGAGGGGGGGGGGGAGGGGCGCGGGATGGGAGGGAAACAAAGAAGAAGAAAGGGGAAAAGGCAACGTACATCATCCCGACTGGATGCGTACCACATCAGCAGCTCGGGCGTCTCCAGCACGTCCCGGGCCCATTCGCGACGGCGCCAGCTCTCCCAGCTCTCGCCGGGCGGGCGGCCCCGTCTCAGGTTCGCTGCTGCTGCTGCGGGGGAGGAAGAGGAGGCGGTGGCGGCGGCGGCGGCGGCGGCGACACCCCTGCCGACTTTACGGCGGAGGTAGCTGTCGTCGGAGCTCTGGTTCGGGTGGAGGTGGCGCGGGGTTCGGACAAGGCCGCCGACAAAGTCGTCTGACGAAGGGTCGAAGAGGTCGAGGTCTGGTTCGAAATCGAGGTCCATCTCGGCCATGTCGAGGTCCATTTCGGAGGCGGAGTCTTCGTATGGGTCTTTGCCGCGGGCTTGGCGGTCTCTCATGGACGAGGTGAAGGGTTGGTGGGAGGCAGATGAGGCGGTAGTGGTAGCGGTAGTGGTGGTGGTGGCGGGAGGGTGGGCTGTGCGGATGTTGCTTGTTGGGAACGGGGTGTTTAGGGCTGAGCTCATGCTGGTTGTTGCGTGTGTCGAGGTGGCGATGGGCGAAGGGGATGATTCGCCGCTGCTGCTAGGGGTTGATGGGTAGCCGCTGGTGATGTAATGAAAGAACTGATGAGGGGATTGGAAGTGGTTCTGGTGGTGGTGGTGATGATAGTGATGGTGATTGTCTGGAGCGAGAGTGTGGGTTTGAGCTTGATGCGTGGGGGAGTTGTTAGATGGGTTGGTGGTGGTCCCGAAATAGGCTGCCGAGGAGGACATAGCGCCAGTGGGCTTGTCGGGTGCTGCTTGTTGTCTTGGCCGAAGGTGAAATGGTGAGTTTTTAGGGAGGAGGGATGGATGAAGTTGTGGAATAGAAGGTAAGGAGGAGGGGGGAATCGAAGGCGAAGACGTCAGTCATGAGATGAGCTCGAGGAGCTAGCTAAGGTACCTTGCCTTGTGTGCTATTGCTGCCGCTAAGGTAAGGTAAGGAAGGTTACATATGTACTCCGTCGCTGGTGGATGAGTTACGATGTACCTATATGGAGTGAGGTACGGAGGACATGATACAGAGTTACGAGGTCGGCCGAGTGAAGTGAGGGAGCCGGATTTAGGTGGTACCTTATTGAACTGGCCGAGTCCAGATCCGACAAGACGTTTCCCCAATTCATACAGAGGAATTACACGATAACAGTCGGTGAGAGCAAGTTCATGTATGATTTCGCGGGTCATGGCTGATGGAGTGGCAAACAATTTACAGGGAAAAAGAGAGAGGGAGGGAGAGAAGAGAGAAAGAGAAAAGAACGTCGCCAAGGCGGAATCAAGTTTGCACAGAGAACCAAGTAATTGCAGAAATTACACATGTAGATCAAAGTCTGCTGCCACTGCCACTGTCATCTGATTACGAGGTAATTAGCTCTCCCTCCCTCTCTCACTTGTTCGTGATGGTATCGAACAATCAGACAATGAGGAATTTCACCGCCTAATTACACCCATATATCTATACATCAAAAGGATAGATGCTTCTTGCCAAGCGCAAATCAGTGATGGGCGTTTCGATGTTAATCAGTTAATCAATACTCCCCTCTCCATCCCATCCTTGCATGTCGTCCATGTGACTCGAACGACGACGCTGCGACGAGTAACAATGCATTCATTTATTACTGTGTTTCGGTTCCCCTTTTAACAAGGCTTTGTTGACGAGATTAGAGATTACCGAGTCCAAGACACGATCGCGACCGCACAGATGGGGGACTGGGAACGAGAGACAGTTTGTGATAGAACTGAGCTGAGTAATACAATGCGGTTGTCGTGTCCTTTTTTTTTCTTGTTTTCTTTTTCTTTTCTTTCTTTTCTTCACCATGCAACCCCACTCAGCTGGGCGTACCTTATCTTTTCCGTTTGTTTCTTGTCGGTTCTTGTTTTCTGTGACACGTCAATCCCCTCCCACGTCGTACAAAGCGCAAACGGAAACCCCCGCATTGGAGACATGCGCAATTGATTCCCCTTCCCTTTCCCCCACCCCAACCTGCAGTGCAGTGCATTTGCTTCACCGTCTCTCCACTGGCTCAGGATCCTCTCCTGCGTTGTCGAGGGGATACGCCACATACATACAGCGAGAGGGAGAGAATACAACATTTGAGAACGGCGAACCTTGGGAGACAACTTGGAAACTCGTTACCAGATAAGGTGCCGCCCTAGTCGCAATCAATAGGTAGTCAACAGTCACAGCAACATACAGAGGAACCAGGACAGGAACATGTATACTACGTCTCTTCGAAAACAATAGGCCATCTTCGTATGTTTGCCTCGTTCGCCAATCCCTCTAAGCGGTATGGTATGGTACACAAGCTCCCCCTTAGTATACAGCGCCGTCCCAACATCCCATGCTATCGCCAGTGTGTCCCTTTCCCCCGCTGTCAAACCCCATCCCGGGCACGCCATTCCCAAGAAGAACAAGAAAGAAAAAAAAAATGAAAAAATCATCGAACCCTGAAAGCAAGACAAAGGAAAATGGTTTTGTAGTTACGGCTCTTCGAAGCGTCCAGATGGCTCTCCCTAGCTAGTCAGAGAGGAAGGGAGAAGAGGGGATGGGCCACTGATACCTCCAAGGAAATAGAGATCCCAACATCGTGGCGACTTGAGTTGCCCAACATGAACTGTTCCCCCGCCTGGATGGTACAGTAGGGTCTCCGTGGAAATCATGAACACCAGTAGTTTCAATGCCCAGAAAATTAAAAGAACGAAACGAATATAAGACGGCAAAGACGGGGGGAAAAAAAGATGTCGACAAGAAAGGGCGCCAGAGCCTGTCTGAGAGGCTCATGGGTGGAAACTCTGTCGGTCATCCTCCATTCTCCCTCTTGATCCAACATCGGTACCGGCTACCATACGGACGAAACAGAAGTCCAGCGTCGAATGGTCGTGCTGTTGCCGTCGGGGTACAGTTCCTGACTGGGTCCCCCC